ATTTTTCAAAGAATCACTATCAGAAATAGAGGATGAAACCTCAGAACTAGAAGAGGATGTAACCTCAGAACAAGGAGGGGATGAAACCTCATGAACACTAGCAGAAGAAGATGGAACTTCATCAGGACTAGCAAGAGCGGGCGAAACCGCATTAAAATAGTGATCCTGCTCAGAAGGTGAATCACCTCTGGCAATAGGCTTTTTCAATGAATAATTTGCCTCAATAGATGACTGCTTGGCTTGAACAGAAGGCTGTTTCAATGAAGAATTTGCCTTTAAAATAGGATAAGGACCATCTTTAACAAGTGGTGAGTGACATTCATCATCAAACAAGGAGCTTAAAAACCCACTATCAAAGTCATCTCCCACAGAAGAATCCCCGCTATTAGCTAACTTTTTAGCCATAGCCCTAGTAACAGCACAAGCAGGATATATATCAGAGTCCTCTTGGACAGAATCCTCAATAGAACAAGGCTGATCAGAAACAATGGGGTCTAATGATACCTTACCCCCAGCTAAATCATTGCCTAAAAGCAATGCGACTCCTTCAACAGGAAGTTGTGGCCTAACACCAACAATAACTGGCCCTTTGACTAACTCTGATGTGATATGAATACGATGGAGGGGAACTTTAGTAAAACCTAATTCTATGCCTTGCATCAAAATATGGGTACCTGTGAATGACTCCTCAGATAAAGGAAGGACACCTTCTAACAACAAAGTCTGAGATGCACCCGTGTCTCTGAGAATCTTAATTGGCTTAGAATAGGTACCGTCACATGACAGTGACACAGATCCTTCTGACATGAAAGGCTTATAATCCTCCATAATATCACTATGAGTTGATTTCTCAGTATGAGTATATGAATCCCAAACAATGGGCTTTCTTGAAATGGGAACTGTAGCACAACCATTTGAATGAGCAGAACCAGACATCTCTCTTCTATTCTTAATCCTATAGCATTCAGAAATAAGATGACCAGGCTTTTTACAATAGTTACAGGTGACATTTGATTTTGGACCTGAAGAATTTGATTGATCTGATTTTGAGCTAGAACTCTGTGATGAATTAGACTGGTCTTTTGCTTTGTTTGATGTATTTGATGATGAGTACTGATTTGATTTAGAGTCATATGAAGGTTTGTTACCCTGATAACCTCTAAAGTTTGAGTTAGGATTACCTTTGATAAAACTACCCTTATGAGTAAGAGCATAATCATCAGACAGGGTGGCAGCTTGACTTAAAGTTTCTACCTTGTGTTCATCTAAGTAAGTTCTAATGTGATACTGAACACAGTTTTTAAATTGTTCTATTAGCATAAGCTCTCTGAGCTTTTTAAACTCTTCAGATACATCTTTAGAGACAAGCCACCTGTCAAAAAGCTGCTCTTGCTCTCTAGCAAACTCAACATGGGTTTGGTCACTCTGCTTGTGGGCATTTCTAAATTTTTGTCTGTAAGCTTCTGGCACTAGTTCATAAGCTTTAAGAATCGCATTTTTAATAAGGTCATAATCAGAGCATACTTCTGCTGAGAGAGAGGCAAATATTTCACTTGCTTTACCAATGAATACACTCTGAAGCATAACTGGCCATGCAGATTTAGGCCAGTCTAGGCTCTGAGCGACTTTTTCAAAATGTGTAAAGTATTTATCAACATTTTTCTCTTGAAATTTAGGTACAAATTTGAGAAATTTTGAAGCGTCAAACCTATTTTCAAAATGTTGATGCATAGTAGCATGTTCATCAGTTTTGGATTGAGCTTCTATCTCAAGACGTTTCAATTCAATTTCTCTTTGAATTTCTTGTTCTCTCATTTGTCTTTCATTTTCTCTTTTTTCTCTTTCATTTTGCATTTGCAATTCTTTCTCTCTCAATTCTCTAATTTCTCTTTCTTTTTGAATTTCTAACTCTTTTTCTTTCAATTCTCTAATTTCTCTTTCTTTTTGAATTTCTAACTCTTTTTCTCTCAATTCAAGTTCTTTGAGCTTAATAGGATCAACATGCTCAACATGCTGGGCTGGCTGCTCAGGCAGAAGTGATTCTGCGACCAAATATTGAAGTACAAAGTTTTTAATTGTATCCTTTTTGTATGAGCTTTTGACTGATAGCCCAACATGTTTTGCAATTGCCAGAAGTTCAGTTTTCTTTAAATCATCAAATTCCTCCAAAGAGGGCGCTTCTAAAAATGTCTCAACCTCAAAACTCATTTTCAATTAATTGCTGTCTTCACAATTTAAATGTGCAAGTTTTAGATTTTGAAATATTTGAATTTGTGCTTGTTGTAGTTGTATCCCGGACAAGCCCCCAATTTCTGTTACGTTCGAAAATAACAGAAAGTAAAAACAGCAATTAAAATATAACAATGTACAGTAATATATTTTTGAAAACTAAATGCGATGACAATAATATATAAAAGTCAATACTTATGATACGTAGATGTAGAGAAATGATACGCCTGTCTCTTGATGTCGATAAATATCCTTGAGAATGTTCCAGATCACGAAGCGTTTCAATAATCGTTAATAATGCTCCAATGTTTGTAATAATCCAATAATGTTTGTTGTAATCCTATAATGTTCGTATCCAATAATGTTTGATGATAATCCACAAATGTTTGATGATAATCCACAAATGTTTATGATAATCCACGAATGTATATGATAATCCCTATATAGTGTGTGTTATAATATATGTCCATATAAAGTCCTCAGGTTGTATGTTTGCACTGTTATAAATGTTCCCAAAGTAGGTGTCTGTAATTTTCTGCTAAGAAGATGTCCTTTGATAAACTTTGAAATTCTGCTGACAGCCCAAATCAGCTCTCTCATTATATAGTGCAAAGGCATAGTCCAGATGCTTCAAGAAGTTACGTTTTCTAGAAAATAACACTGATTGGACATCTTAAGTCACATGATTCAATCTTGATTAAATGATTACAGTTCCAGTACTTTCTAGAAGGCCAAGAGTTAATGAGTCATTCAGTTCAGTTATGTTTACAAGATACACAATATAATGTCATTGTGACCTTGACTTGACCTAAGATCTCTAATGAAGATCAGTTACAGTATATGCATATTGATAAACTTAATGTGAATATAATATAATATAATACTGTAACATAATACATTTATTAATCAGACATAGGTCATCATATGGAGTCGTGGCCGAGTGGTTAAGGCGATAGACTAGAAATTTATTGGGGTCTCCCCGCGCAGGTTCGAATTCTTCCGACTGCGTTACCATTTCAAAAACGATCATTTTGAAAACGAATTTTCAGTCACTTGCTTTTCAAAATATGAATAGACAACATTCAAATGATCAACCCTGCCGACTGCGTTATCATTTTTCTTTTCATATTTTAAAATATGAAAAGACAAGATTCAAATGATTAATACATTTATTAATCAGACCTAGGTCATTTTATGCAGTCGTGGCCGAGTGGTTAAGGCGATAGACAAAAATTGGGGTCTATTGGGCTATAGATGAGGTACGTACTAGAAAATTATACCCATCCAGGCACTGGTTAGCTACATCATGGGCTTTCAACTAGAAGGGTAGGCAACTTCCCATATTTCATACATAAGTATTGCCTTTTGGGTTTTTGGGAGAATGTACACTATTCCAAGAAAATCTTATTTTTTACTTTTTAGGGATGATTTAAAGAATAACTCAAAAATAAAAACACGATTATCAACATACATGTTGATTTAATTTAATAATAAAACGGAATTTATCATAATTATGGCAAAAAAAGAAAGTGAACATTTTTCCACAAATTATGTTTTTGGAATGTGTTCTTGAATTATTACCCACGAGACAGTGCAATACTAGAAGAGAACATCTTGATAGTTCATGACTAAATATTACCATAAAAGGGAAGCATGGCATTGCTCATTTTGAAGGTCTCATGTTTATTACATAGAGTTGCATACCCTTCTAGTATTGAAACCCCATGGCTAAATCGGCGGTTGCAATATTATGTTTTGATTATACAGCATGGGGTTTTGATTGTGCGCCTTTCATTGAACTGATGACCAAATTTTAGATATGGTGATTTCCTAGCAAGTTGACACATCAGCCCCTGTGGCCTAATGGATAAGGCATCGGTCTCCTAAACCGGGGATTCTGGGTTCGAGTCCCAGCAGGGGTGGGAAGGCTAATTTTTTTCCGCAAGGCTAACAATAATTGTTTTGGATAAAGTGTATGTATTTTTTTATATTAAAATGACCATGACATAAGTATGCTTCATATTCAAACAAGAAAGCTGATGACTTTTTTGTTTAATTTTAAGAAAACATTTTTATCCCCATGAAATAGGAGAGCAGGGACAAGATTTTTTCAAATTTTCCATACTGGAAAGTGTAATAAGAAAGTTAATTTTAAGAAAACGAAATAGAAAATTTTCTGTCTAACCATTAGCTACTTATGTACCAAAGTGTGCAAAAATAAATTACAAATATGCCATAACTGACTATAATTCATTAAATCCATCAATATGATGTATCAACATAAAGTAAAAACTCATTTTCAAAAGTGGGATATCACGTTCAATGTATATTGTATATGTCCCAAATCTGAACACTCGTCAATCATAATTCCTACGCTATAGTATGAAGCCATTAATTGCCTGTAGTGTATACAACTACCTTAATTAGAAATTTTGACAAAACCAGTTTATTAAGAATCTTCTTAATCGAATCGCCTACAAGGGTATAATCTCTTTAAAACAAATTGCTATCTATCTAAATAAAAGACGGACCCGACAGTTTTCTTCACAGGATTTTTTCTCAAGCGGGTTCAAATTTCTCATGTTCACAATTGAGACCAAAATTGGTCAAATCATGCCCATTTTTCTAGATTTTTCTCCTTCTTAAATGGGTACAAATAGAGGTGGTGCAAGTCAGTTTTCAAAATCTCAGGTGGGTGCTGCGCCCACTTGCTTTAATGCTTGGGAGATGATTGCAACATTTTAGGTCCCCTGTATTGTAAGTATACCTACCCCATCGAAGTCTTCTTCATCCTCCCCTTCTTCATACTCGAGGTTAATATCATCGTGTTCTCCAGATCCGTGTTTCGTGAAATAATGGACTCCGGAGAATTCGACAATCGTCGCAAGGACAAAGGCAAAGCAGATAGCCACGAACCAATCAAGTGCCGTGGAATAGGAGACTTTGGGTAAGTCCTTTTTATTGTCGATACCAAGGAACGCCATTGTGAGAATCGTAGTGACACCTAAAATGAAAATAGTAATTTGAACTCCGTGCCTTGCTCTATTGATGATGTTCACTATACACATGTTTTACTTATAAGGTCTGGTGGTCTTTCAAACTATTGATTTGGGTAGTATTCATGCAATTACCGGCTGCCGGTTTAACTTACTTTTAAAGACAAATTCATTTACTCAGGTTCTATTCATATTTAATAATTGGCCTTCAAATAGTAGGTAAATCCATCAGCTGTCAGTTGAATTCGCGAACGCTACCTTAGTCAAAGTTGGAAACAAATCGCAAATGTGTCCGTCAAAGGATACAAGCCAATATACAACAGTATAAGCATGCAGGAATTTGGGGATAAGTCCGAGAAGATGCATGTAATTTAAATAGTTTCTTAATTCGTCATCTCACACTTTCGTTGATGATATTAACTTATAGTACCAGCTCTGCCAATGGTCATCATTATATGCAAATGACCATCATTAAATACCAATATGATCACGATAAAATATGCTTTATGTGTTTGATTTTGACAAATCCATATTTTTATTTCCTCAAGCTGAAGGCAATAATTCCATACCCAATGCTATCCTGTCAGACGTTGCTTCTCTGTTAATCCAGAATGAGACCCACGAGATGATGACGAGTAGACCACAGGGAAAATAGACATTAATGAGGAAGTAACCCATGTGCCTTTCTAGGTCAAAGGTACACCATAATACGGAGAAATATCCTGCGATGACAATAAAATAGTGTTATAGGTACACATTTCAGCACAATAAAACATAGGCCCGGGAACATGTATAAAATACTGAATTTGAGTCTTCTTTAGGAACTCAGAGACTCCGATTGGGCAAACTTCGATTTTGCATTAAATTATACATGTTCCTAATTATAAGCCTATGCTATGAAATGATGATCTGTATACAAAGGAGACGTTTGAGTATTAGGTTTTGTCTGTTCTTGGTCTGTGTTAGAAATTAAACACGTTTTTGTAAACCTTTTAATAAGATAGAAACATTGCTTAATGTTACCCATGGGGTAGAGCAATCGGAGTAAGAATGCTTAATCCATAGCCATATTTCGACTGGGTATAAAACTTATTCAAATCCAGGCCCGTAGCCAGGGGGGGTTCGGGGGGTTCCTGGCCAAAATTTCTTTCAAAATCATGCATTTTTTCACCATTCTGACTAATTTTTGAGTGATTTTTGGCCATGTTTGCCAAAGTGAAGCCCCCTAGAATTTTTTAGAAAAACGAACCCCCCCCCCCCCCCTTGGAAAATTCTGGCTACAGGCCTGAAATCGTATATCATGAATCAATAATATATTTTTTGAGGCGCTTTTATATCTTTTCCCATTTCAAAATAATTTTAAATGATTGCATCTTTCGTAAAATTCATTACCGTTTCAATGTTTTTTAAGTTAATAGCTCCTATCAGAGCACACTGATTATTTCATTCTTCAAACAGCCAACCTACCTTTACTACTAATAAACAATGTTTCATTGCCACTAGGGATAGATTTCAGGTTAAATTGTGACATCTGGACGTCAGGTGACACTTTCACTGAGCTGTTCCCATTCTTCCACACGTACGTCACTTCCTCCTGTGTGTAGGCAAAGCTGCCGACCCTCAGTGGGCAAGATTGCATATCCATGGGAAACTTTTCGAGATGCATGGGGCAAGTTGCTTTAATTGTCAATCTACAAAATATGTTAATGTAAAGTGAATCATGGATGGTTTTGCTTATCACCGTTATCAACGCAAGGATACGCTGTAGATCTAGGATTTAGATGCATCCCAATTCCCCCTCCCTAGGCGTAGCCAGGGGTAATGGGTACCCCATTATATACTTATCATTAGATGGAAGAAAAGAGCTTTAAAATGTTTTTACTTCTGGTTCAATTTTGTAAAATTCAAGAACAGGGAGCTCAGGTGACTTTAGACATTTTGTGACAAACGAAGGTGGTAAGCAAGGGAGGTAATTAGGATGTCATCTCTGAACTCTGGGATTTTCCCTCCTCTACGCAAAGTAAAGCCCCGTGAGTGAACTATGTGAAGCAGTGGCGTAGCCAGGATTTGGTGACCGGGGGTTCTATTTTTATGTTATTCACAACCTCCCCCCGTCATTAGGGTTCCTCAAATAATGCAATTTGTACAATTACACTCCCTCCAAAAGTTTGGCAATCCTAGTAACTAACCCATTAAATTGGATTATGTATTAAGCATCTTTAAGTTTAAATTCTTATATGCATAATTTGTAAAGAAAAAACTATTTTGGGAGGGGAAATATAATTCATATTAATACCTTCATTAGCTTAAGTCCACAATTGAATTTGAATTTTATTTTTATAAAATGATGTCTCTATTTACGTTAAGCAAAGTCTGAAAGTAATAGGCTTTATCAAGAAACCTCTCCCAGTGAAATAACACAGTACGTAAAAATGATTTTCAAAAATGACCCTGTAGCTTTGTACGGCAACGTGCAAAAAAGTCAGACAACTTCGGTGAATTTTCTGCATCAAAATATATTTCGGTAAATCTTTTACTGAATACATATCCTGAAATCTGATTTGCCCCGAATCCACCATTATTTTTGCGGTAAATTTTTCAAAATGTGGTAGTTTTTGCGGTATTTTTCGACAAAAATGCAGTAGTTTCACGGGAGATTTTGAAAAATTGGTAGTTTTGCGGTAGATTTTAGAAAAAAACGGTACTTTTTCGGATTTTTTAAAAAAATGCAGTAGTTTTACGGTAGATTTTGAAAAAGTGCGGTAGTTTTTCAGTAGAGTTTGAAAAATATGGTCGTTTTTGCGGTAGATGTTTGAAAAAACGGTAGTTTTGCGGAAGATTTTGAAAAATGCGGTAGTTTTACGGTAGATTTTGAAAAAATGCGGACGTTTTTGCGGTAGATTTTTGAAAAAAAACTGTAGTTTTGCGGAAGATTTTGAAAAATGCGACCTAGTCTTACGGTAGATTAAAAAATGCGGTAGTTTTTGCGGAACATTTTGAAAAAATGTGGTACTTTTTGCGGTAGATTAAAAAACTGATTTGGGGTAGATTTTGACACACTTCAATGAATAGATAATTAAGTATGTTTTTCTAACACAGCATTCATGGAACTCTTTCATAAAATATTTTACGGTAGATTTCGGTAAAATTACGGTTGATTTTTTACGGTCGTTTTTACGGGAAAAATGGTAATTTTTACGGTAGTTTGTCATTTTTTTACGGAAAACGAAAATTTTACGGTAGATTCCCGTAAAAATACGGTAGGCAGGTATGGTATTACTGATGAAAATATCTATTATTCAAGGAAGTGGGTCTCGGTTATATTGTTTTAAAAAGTTAAAAATATTTCTTTGGACGTCCCCAGAGCTCAGTGGTTACTCCCCCGGAGCAGATCAACTGCTGATAATAAAAACGTTTTGGTGGATATAAATCATATATAAATACAAGCGACTGTTCGAATATAAAACGTATTTTGTTAAGTTCAGACGGCTTGATAACAAATTAGGCCTTCATTATTTGAAGATTAATACCATATGTTTTTTATTATGTAATTTATTCGCTAAATATACCATGACATTAACATAAAAATGGAGAGCAAGTTAACTGGAACGATAACAATTTGAATTCTATACAATCTCTTAGATGAGTGGAGTGTATCTGAAAAAATAAAATCATTTTTTGCAATGATTGATTTTTCTTTGGAAAAGTGATGGGTAAATAAATACTGAACAAATGAAAGAATGAATAAATTTGAACAAATACTTGTGTTTATAAATGATTACGCTTTTAAATAATTCATTTCGCAACGTTTTTAATTGTTTAACGCAATTGGTTTCGGGGACTTGCCAGCCCTATATGGACGTCCCAAGAAATATTCTAAATTTTAATTTAAATAAAACAAAACAGAGATGTAGGCCTACACTTACGACTATTCCAGATATTTATTCGTCAATGTTGGAATAACGTCTGCATTGTTTTCGATAAACGGCTTCAATAACTTCGTATTGGACCAGAACTGGCTTAAAACAAAATTCCTACGAAGCACTGACTTAGCCATTGCCCAAGATGGGTTATTTTGTCCGAGAAGAAGCAGCCTTTAAGTTAATTGTTAGAAATTATTGTTATTTCTAAATGTAAAATCTCATGCTCTGGTGTCTTGCCTTTAAAACTCACCCCGTGCCCAAGGTTGCCAAACGTTTTGAGGGAAGTGTAATTTCAATATGACATGTTTTTAATAAAATAAGGCTCTCGTGTTCACCATAACATTTATATCAATTCATTTACTGCTCATATGCAGTTTTCAAATAGCACAGTAATTTAAAGTTTCTGGATATATGCATTTTCCCGCAAAATGATATTTTGGGAAATCCTGACCGGGGGTTCGTTCGAACCCACCGAACCCCCGCTGCCTACGGCTATGGTGAAGGACGAATCAATAACGAGATCATTTTTTGTCAAGGTCTCCATAAAATATCAACCCACTATATGGAAGGCTAAATAAACTAGAATGTCAATTGCAACAGAAACCTTATAGGTATTGTTCACTCATCTAACATAAGACAGTCTGTCACATTTTTGACGTGTCTTCTTTGGAATCCATATATTCACCATTTTATTGAGGACCTGTCTATCAAACCCATGCATGTTATGTTACAGTAATGGGGCCTCAATATCACTCTGCTATACCTAACCACTAGAAATGCATAAGATATTCTGTTTGTCTAATTGTATTGTTTAATATATTTTTGAAAGTACTTATTACTACCTAACAGTCATCCAATAAACCATTCATAAGGAACAAACACACAAAAAAATCACATAATCATTACAGATAAGCTGAGAAAAAATTACAAAATTAAAAGAATTAAAATTGACAAAAAAGAAATAAAAGTAATTCAACATGCAGATGATACCACCCTCACATTGTCAACTAAAGAATCTATTCGCAAAGCACTTAAATAAATAAATATTTATTCTGAAATATCTGGACTTAATTTAAATATGGACAAAACTGAGGGAATATGGTTAGGTAACTTAAAAGGTAATGGACATCAATATGAAAATATTCATTTTGGAGTAGAACCTGTAAAATTTCTGGGAATATATATTGGAAATGACAAAACTTTGTGCAAAGAAAAAAACTGGGACAACAAGATCAACAATTTTGAAAAACTTTTTGAATCATGGAAAAAAAGAAAACTGACCCTCTTTGGCAAAGCACATGTTATTAACACTCTTGGAATTTCAAAATTAGTGTACAATTTAAGTATTCTAGATGTACCCGATGATATTGTTAAAAGAATCAATGAAATTATTTTCGGTTTTCTATGGAAAAAGGATTGGGTAAAACGAAATACTTTAATTGGAAATATACTTGATGGGGGGATTAATCTGGTAGACATTCAATGTAAAATTGATGCTTTAAAAGCTGCATGGGCACCTAGCTCGTATAAAAACAACAAACACATCGGTTAAAATAATTTCAGAATATATCATAAATAAGCTTGGTTTTACAATAAACGATTTTTACAAAACAAATTTTGACGAAAATGTTAAGATTTTAGATCACTATGTTCTACAAACATGTCTTTTGTGCATACAATAGATGTAAGGAAATAGAGAAAAATAAACATCCTGGAACAGAAGTTTTATGCTTAAACAAACGGTTTTTGTGTAGGAAAGAAACTTTGTACATGAAAAATTGGATAAATGCAGGTTTTATTTATGTCAAGGACTTTTTTGACGAGAGAAATAATCTCATTGATGAGAAAACTGTTTTGTTAAGATTAAAAAATAAGCAAAATTGGATGACCGAATATTTAAAAATTAGACTTGTTTTGCACAATATTAAATATGAGAGTAAACAAAGTATGAAATATGCTAACAAAAGGCATTCAAACTCTTTCCTATTTAGAAATGACAAATATGAAAACCTTGAGAAATTAAGTTCAAAGTTCTTTTATAAAATCCTATTGAAAGATAAATTAATTAGACCAAAGATGGAAGCAGATTGGACAAAATCCTTCAATATTCAGAACGATAGAATCACTTTTAGAAATATATACAAAAACAAGATAAAAGATATTGAATGCCAAAAGTTATCAGAATTTAACTTTAAACTATTACATAATTTCTTAGCCTGCGGAAAACTGGTGAATAAGTGGAATATGAATACACCAAAAGAATGTAGTGAGTGTAATGTTGTACAAGACATTAGACATTTATTATATGATTGTGTGTTAATTAAAAATCTATGGAATATTCTAAGTGAAACACTAAAGGTGGATATTACTTGGAAAAATATACTTCTGGGGTACCAAAGCATGAACAGCAAATTAGAATTTAGAATGTTGCTTTACACAATATTGATGAAATGTATTCATGAAATTTGGACAAAAAACTCAGACAATCCAACTCAATATAAACAAGCAAATTTTAAATCGAAAATAGCATCTAAATTAAATATTTATGAACACATTTTTAAACTGCAAGGAAAAGTAAATATTGCTCATGATTTTAAGAAAATTACAAATGCCTTTGCTGCTTACTAAGATTGAATGGATTTTCTGGACCTTTACTATTGTATAAGGATCAAAATTTTGATAGAGTATATAATGCTGTGAAAATCCTATTTTACTATTGTATAAATTCTAATCCAGGATATAATGTATATTTCCGTTTTGCATAGTTT